ACTAGAAATAAAATAGTAACCTTTTAATCATTGCCACCATATAAAACAGAGCTTCACTTCCTTTTACTCTTATGCGAATATCTACAAAAATCGAAATTCAGGCGGTACCGAGCTTGCAGCGTTCCCTAGTGTAGAAAACACCAACCATAGGAAAAACTTTTCCAATCCATTTTTTAAATTGGGCTGCAAGAGATTTCACTTGTAAATATTGCTATTATTGCTTTAAAAAAGTTTTAGAAGTGAATGTACAATGTTTGCAAGAACTACTGTTCAAAAGAACCTCAAAACACAATGATCACGTTCTGAGCCAAATGGCTTCAAAATTCACCAGAATCAGTAACCCGGAAGTATAGGCGGTAAAGATACTGCAGCGCTTCCTAGTGTAGAAAACACCATCCATAAAGACGTGAATTAATTTGAGCAAAATTGTGAACTTGAAAAATATTAATTATAAGAAGAGAAACTAATTAAAAAAATTATTTTTATATAATATACTGAAATGATTTACAATTTTAGAAAACTTTTTCGATAACTAATATCATTACAAATTTATCGATAAAAATGTAAATGTCAAGTTGTAGAAGATAATTCGTAATTGCACTTGTTATAAACTCGTTGAACCGATTGATTCGAAACAGTTGGAGTTTAATATCACTGTTACCATTACGAATTATTATTGCGAACGATAAAGCTTGAACATCGTGCTCTGATGAAAATTCGATATATCTAGCATACTGGATTTATTTATGTTTACTTATTATTATGGTGGTTTTGATATGAATCAGAATTTAATAAAATATTTTAGAATAAGCTTTGAAATTATTTGTATCGGTTCATTATAGTAAGTATTTTGTTTTTGGATTAAAATATAGTTATATTTGAGAAGGTTGTGAATCATCAATAACTTAATTTTAAATAAATTTTCCACTTGGTTTTGACTAAACTGTTTCAAATAATTTATATTAATATATTAAGGCCTTTCAACGAAGTGATCTAACAATATAATTAAGACCTTAAATCACTAATTTTGGAAATTTTTATTTTATGATTTCTTGGAAATGTTTTGGTACAACATGGTATTACAATTAAACTTTCAAATGGTTATTAAAAAGCAAGATTCTGAGTCTGTATTTAAAGTTAAAAATAAACAAATGCTTAATTATTACATACATTTTTGATTTCTTATTAATTTTTGCAAACATATTTGACTCATCGTTTGTTATGCAACTCTTAGGGTTTACTGACACTTTGTTTGTAGTAATTGTGTAGATAAGATGGTAATGGAGATTATTTCAATATCTATCATAGTTTTACTTTTTATGATAAGTACATAGAGCTCTGAGAAATTTCTGCTTTATTAGAAGTTCTTACTAAGCAGTGATCATGTATGGCATGTTTTTGCAAGTTTTCTAAAATCAAGATCTAAGATTTCTGAAATCAATAGCGTGGTTGTGGGACATATGTCAAAATTATATGTAGACAAAATTATAAAATATGTCAAAATTATTGTAAATGTATATAAATGTTTCCTTAACTTCAAAGACTCATTATAATAATAATTTGAAGTTGATAGTCCTATTATACTTGATAGGTAGATATAATGTTTAAGATTTCTTCCTTCTCTTCGCAGTGCCCCTTAAGAAACTAAAGAAAAAAAATCATAGAATTGAACTGAAGTGTATAACCTGTAGCCACCTGTAGACAAACCTCTACACACATATATATATTAGAGATGTAACGAATATTCTGCCATTATTCGGTATTTGGCCCTTTTGCTGAAAATTTGGTTGGCCAAATATTCGCCTGAGTGTTTGGCCGAAATTCGTCAAAGTATTATTTGGAAAATTATTTTTGAACAAAGTTTTTTTTGGGGGGGAAAGTTTAATAGATTTAATAAAGAATAATCTGAAATTGTATTTTTTACTATAAATTATTTAAAATAGTTTTTACGCATATTAAGTTTTAAAACTTTTTAACTTAAGTTCTGAAAGACGTATGGAAAAGTGAAATTTTGAAGAATTGAAGCTAAATTACTTTATACTGAACCATAACTTTTATAATGCTGATTTTTTTTCTTTTTGTTTTAATTATAATGAAGCAAGTCAATTTAATCTTTTTTCTGCTCTTTATGTTTTAAAAATTGAGAATTTTTGTTTGTTTCATTTTTGCTTGTTTTCCTGTTGTTACTAAAGTGAAGCCTGTTAACGGAGTGTTTTATCTTGTATGGTAATACAGATAACTAGTAACATAAAAACTGTGATTCTCAACATTTAAGTTATATTTCAGATCTAAGAAGAAAAAATTTATGCTTACTTTTGTTTTTTTTTTCTATCTTTCTTCTTTTCTGTCTTTTTCTATCTGCGTTTTTATTATAACAGCATTTTTGGAAGAGCGTTTCTTATGAATATTATTCTTTTATGATGATTTTTTTCTAAAAATACAGTAATGTACGTTGAAAAAATATTTTTAGCATCAAATTTTTCGTTTGAAAATTAATATGTATTTTTGTTTTGGTTTCTATCTAGCTTTTTCTTTTTCAAAAAAATTATTTTTTATAGGCGTTTTTATTCTGACGCAGCAATTAAGAAGGTTTCTATTAGACTTTAATCTTCACTTTTTCTTGAAAAAACTAAAATGTTTAGTTTTTGAATTTTCTTTCAAAAATTAAGATTAATTTTTTTCTGCTTTGCTTTTGTATATAATCTTTTTTTTTTGGTGATTTTTATGATAGCGCTGGACATTATCTCTTTTAATGTTTTATGGATAATTTTGTTTCTGAAAAATATTATTTTTAGCATAAATTTTTTTTTCAAAAACTATAATTTTCTTCCATTATATGATACATTTTTCCATTATATGATATATGAGGATATATTTTACTTCCATTTCTTTCTTTTTTTTTTCCTTTCAACTTTACAACTTAAGTTTTTTTTAATAGCTGTTAATCAGTAATTTTTTAATCTTAAATATTTTTAATTATCTTTATTATCTAAAAAATTTTTAAATTTTTTTTTCCTCTTCACCGCATACCAATAATACAGCTAAGTTTTGATTATTTTTCAATAATGACTAAATTTCCTTCTATATATTCTATGTAAAAATATTTTTTAATGATTTTTTTAAAAAAATGTTACTATTCGGCCGATTTTTTTCCATCTGAATATTCAGTATTCAGCGAAGTTACTATTTGTTACACCCCTAATATATATAATTTTTGCAAGCTTAAAATCCCTTTAGCACCATGGCGATTACTGTTGGTGGGAAAGGATGTCAGGTGGCACAGAACTATCTCCTAGATTTCTTCTTTAAAGAAATCATTGATAGGACTTTAACAAATGTATATTTTATGTGGATACATCAGAGTGAGAGATCTGCTGCTGTGTTGTAAAATATTTTTCCAATTATTAATGTGCTTTTTCATGGTTTAAACAAATTAGAAAACTCCTTAAAAAGTTCTCGAATGTTTTGTTTCCTTTTTTCAATGCCGTGAAATATATTAAAAGATGAATTGACTAATAGTAAATGATCATTAAAAACATCTTGTTTTTAGAGCTAATTAAGTCAGTTCTTCCATAAGCATTCTCACAATTTTCAACATGAATAGATTTGGCGCTTTAGCAGTTAATTATTTCGGCTCTCTATGATGCAAGAAACTTTTAGCATATGTTGAGGTTTAGTCTCATTGTAAGTTTCTTGGTTCCAAAGTCAATACAAATGTAAGATTTTTTTTAATTACATTTTTTCAAAGAGTTACTTGATATTTTTCTTAGCACAATATTTAGAACTATTGATTATTATATTGTAATTAGACTTAGTAAGATTTTACATTTTAGTGTAAATTTACCTTGAACATGATATTCAGTAAAAGGCTTAACCCATTGCTTTAAGTAACAGGCTTTACTTGTTTGTTAATCTTCACAATGAGCAAACTGTGTTTATTTTTATTTTGAAACTGATTGAGATAATGTTGGTAAACAGTTAATATTGCTACACCATTGAATGCAAAAATCAAGCATTGTCTTTTGATCATCTTGTTTTTCATTTTCAAATTTAGAACTTAATTTTAGTATTGTTTCACTTTATTTTGTATGCCTTGGTGGCCCTTACAGTCAGTGATAAATTATATTTTTTTGTCTGTTGTCATCTAGGATTGCAACATACATGTGTGTGTAAAAGTCCTATTAAACAATTTTGTTTAAGTAAAAAATCAAAAAAATTCCTGTATCAAACAAATAAAAGTCTTTTTTATTCTTTTTTAGATATCTTTCTTCTGCTTTTTATCTAACGTAAGTGTGATTCACAATGTCTTGTTCTGCCTCGAATTCAGTTCCGGCAGCAAATCAAAGTTTAGTATCTCCAGCAAGTGATGAACGTATCACATTAGTCGTCGACAACACCCGCTTTGTCGTTGATCCTGCTCTATTTGCTGCCTATTCAGATACCATGTTAGGAAGAATGTTTGGTTCATCCTTAGAACATAATTTCACTCGACCAAATGAGAGAGGAGAGTATGAAGTTGCTGATGGTATATCAGCTACAGTTTTCAGAGCGATACTTGAATATTTTAAAACTGGTGTAATACGTTGTCCTCCAACTGTATCTGTACCTGAACTGAGGGATGCTTGTGACTATTTTTTAATTCCTTTCGACTCTAAGACTATCAGATGTCACAATTTGCGTGGATTCCTCCATGAACTATCCAATGAAGGTGCCAGAAGGCAGTTTGAGAATTTTCTTGAAGAGCTAGTTTTGCCTGTAATGGTTTCTTCTGCTCAAAGAGGCGATAGAGAATGTCAGATAGTTGTTCTGTTAGATGATGATGTGGTTGATTGGGATGAAGATTATCCACCCCAAACTGGTGAGGAACATTCACAAATTGTTTATAGCACTGAAATGTATAGGTTTTTCAAGTACATAGAAAATCGGGATGTTGCTAAGAAAGTTTTGAAAGAGAGAGGCCTAAAAAAGATTCGATTGGGCATTGAAGGTTATCCTACACATAAAGAGAAGGTCAAGTGTCGCCCCGGTGGAAGAGCTGAAGTAATTTATAACTATGTCCAGAGGCCCTTTCTCAGAATGTCGTGGGAAAAAGAGGAGGCTAAGAGCCGACATGTTGATTTTCAATGTGTTCGCAGCAAATCAATTACGAATTTAGATGCTGATGGTATTGAAGCTTCAGCACCAGCAAATAATGTTGTTGTTGTTGAAGGTGCTGCAGGTGAAGTTAATTACGATGAAATATTTATTTTACCTCCACATCCTTCACCACGTGAGCCTTATCCTGAAGTCCACCTGCCTCCTGATGACGCTGTTTAAAATCACGAATACCACTTTCTGTCAAACCGAGTGAAAAATATTAATGGCTGAAGAAGATTCCCTTTTATTTTTATTGATGTTTTTTATTTATTTTTAAAGACAAAGGTTGTTGTGATTTATAACCTGAGGAAAAGTGACAACTACATTTGACTTTCTGTACTTATGCTATTTTTTGCTGACTTTGCCCATAAGCAATGAAATTTTCCAATTGTTAAATTGAGAATTTATGCTTTCCAAATTAATCAGTACTGATTCTGAGAACATCTGTTCTGAAGTTTTTATGTCCTTCATTGTGTTAGTAACATTTTCAGTTTTAATATTTCATGTCTTATATGTGAATTATCTTATTGTCAACATTTCTGTATATTTAATTGACATTGCTGTTCAAATCTGTTTTTGATAAATTTGTTGTTGTAAAAATTGTATCTTTCACTTATGTTTATAAAATTGGCATTGTTAAAATTGTAATTTTTCCATAATTTTTTTTGAATTGAATTATTAGCTTATAATTTTAAAAGTTTAATATGTATATTTCTTTACATTTTTCTAAAATTGTATTCAAAAGACGAAAAGAAATAAAAGGCATCAAAGGTTTCGCTAAATTATTTTTGCACATGTAAACTAAGTATAGCTTTGTAAGTTACTGTGATTAGGTGTCATGTGATCATGATATTTTTATTATTATTTTTTAAATAACATTAAGTTTATCTTAAACATTTTCAAACATTTTGAATAATGTTGAACCAAAGTTCGGAAATGATCTAAATACCAATGTTTGTGTAGGTAACGACTTTGAAATACAGTTGCCAACACATGGTCTTTATAACTGATAAGTACTATATTATGTATAATATATATTGATATTATCTATGGATGTTATAGTATTTTGCTTATTTAATTTGCACACTTTTTATATTAACCTGTTCATCTTATCTATTTATTATTTGTTTTTAAAATTTTTTATCTCTCTGTTAATGTGTTTGTATCATTGTTCTTTAATGGTATACGCACTCTGTGATGATCTAAAAAGAAAAATTCCAAAGCTTTTTGGATTCAACAATATTTCTTTTACAAGAAAAATGTGTATTTCTTTTTGTGCATCAATTCTAAATCTATTATTATTATTATTTATTATTTTTTTTGTAAAATATCTTCAAATCAACTGATTTGTATAAACCAATAAGATCATTTCGAATGATAAATGAATGGAAGACTTACTTCAAGAATTCAAATCATTTATTTAGTGCATAACTCTACTTTGTATCATCGAGAATAGTTTTTTGGTATATGATCCCTAGTTTAAACCTTTATAACTAAACTCGTTTAAAAACAAACAAACAAAATATTTGTTATGTCGGTATTTTATTAGTTTCCCCATGTTTAATTAAACTTTTTTTTTAATACTTCCAAAATTTTAACCAATTATACAAAAATATTATAAAATAAAGGTGCAATATTTATGGTCTTATTGCATTTGAATGCTTCTACATGTTGTTCTATATCTGTGATTATATGAAATGCTTTAAAATAATTTTTGCTTGTAACATACTGGCATTTCATTTTCCACATAATATTTGTGGCATTCCAAGACATTCTTATTCTTTTATCTATCCACATTAGCCAATGTCTCACTTGGTCTTATCTAACTGCTGTTAGTAAAAAATATATTGAGTCTTCATGATTTTTTTATGGGCCTAAGTTTGCCAATATCCTACCCAGTTTTGTCTAAAATCACCATTATATTTTTTAGGATTAGTTCATAGAACAATATTTACCAGTCTAGTTACATTGATTTACAATTACATCTAGTTAAATTGATTTAAACTGAATTGAAGTTATTGTTTTGGATGCTATAATCATTCAAATGGTCTGTAACTAAAATGTCAGATGTTGCTATAAAGGTTTTAAATTAAATTTTTAAGGAAGTTATGTTTTAAAACATGCTTATTTTTTCTTTTTAATCCATCTGGTCAACTGTGTATATTTTAGAACTTTTTCTGAAAAATGAGTAGTAATCTGTTCTGATTTCTACATCTGCATTTGTGACCATGATCGTTTCACAGTTAGTCATGGTTGAGAATTTATGAGTTAAAAATGCTTGCTGACAGTTGTCATTTATTCTCCAGTTTCTACATTTTTATTTATTATGTCTTACTTCACTAGTGTGTTTTTATTGTAATGATTATAAAGGAATTGCCAAATTCATATTTGTTAACCCTTTGGTGTAAGTGGCACACCAGTGTCTTTTTTACATTATTTTTTTTCTGGTGCGGTAAAAAGATATTTTGGTATTTTTTTTGCTGGTGCAGTAAAAAGATATTTGAACCATATTCATATTTGTTAACCCTTTGGTGTAAGTGGCACACCAGCGTTTCTTTTACATATTTTTTTTCTGGTGCAGTAAAAAGATATTTTGGTATTTTTTAATTAAAAAAACAGTTTAACAGTTACTAAAGGAATCTGTTAGATTCTTTGAATTGTATTTGTTCCAAAATATTAAATCCATAAAAGTCGTTAGAAATTTTTCTACTTCATTCATATTCAAAAATTTAACAGTAATGAATTTTGTAAATTAAAGAAATTTCAATGATGGATAACTGTTTCTCTGAAATCTAAATAACTGTAAATAAATGCAATTGTCTTTATCCAAAGAGGGACACTGGTGTCCGTTGCTGTATTTCATAACCAAAAATTATTAAAAATGCTATTTTCCACCTATTTTGACCAAAATTAATGCAAAATAATGAAAAAAGTACGAAAAAGATGTTTGATCAAAATTCTGCTTCAAAGAGTTAAGCAAATATAACAAAAAAAGAATGAATGAATAAAAAAAATTATTTTGCAGTTGATTTTAAACTAAAAATTTATAACAGTTTTTTCAGCACCATTTTGTCCTTTTCTTAAGTTTTGTTTCTTGTGTGCGAAAAAAAATTGTATGTATTTAGATTACAAATTATGTAATTGCTTTTTCTAATCAAATATAAAGCAACTAGTGGCTTAATTGGACCAATATAATATTCTCTGTAAATTATGTGAAAGAAATCTTTGTTATTGGTTTCTGGAGTTGTATTGATAGTGAATTTATAAAAGAAAAAAAATTAAAAGTTTGATGTATTCATTGAGATCTTTTTATTTTTTTGAATGTTTACATTTATCTTTTCTGTAATAATTATTAACTTGATGATTGTTTAACAATGTAGCTTAGAAATCTAATAGGTAAACCCTAATAAACAAGTTGGACAGACTATAATTTTGGTACTAATAAGCAAGTACTGTTATCAGTGGAGAGGTTAAAAAAATACAGAATAAAGAGAGTTTCAAGAAAAAGCTAATAAAGAAAAAATTTGCTTACGTGGAAAAAACAAGGATACATGGAAATAAAAGATGAGAAATGCTGGGGGTTTAAGAACTGGTGGAGAGTTTGAAATGAAATAAGCATTTTAATGTCATACAGGGTGCGTTCTGAAAGTAATGCGCATTTTCTGGGAAAAATAGATTTATTGATCCTATGAGTACAGATGGTTAAAATTCTGCAAAATAGTTCCCTTGTGCATCAATACACTTGCGGAGACGATTCTGCCACGACATGAAGGCACCCAGAACTCCTCGAGAGGAATGCCTCTCAGGAACCTTGTGTCCCGTAGTGGACTGATCGTTAAAACACGGTTCCCAGCAGATCACCGAAGTCAAGCATCACTGGCTGGGGACAGTGTGCGGGTGGGTGACCACTTGGATCAGTCTGCGTAGGGACCGAGGGTGTGCGGTATTGGTCCTCGTTATACTGTGCTACCGTAAAGTGCTCGACTTCGCGCGCAGGTCGTCGGGCTACCGAAGCGGGGGTGCCATCCCCTCCGCAAAGGATCAAAATTGTGATGGCATGTCTTCGGATCATCCTCCGGGATGTTTCCCAGACCGTCGCCAATAGCCCATTGTGCAGCTCTAGTGCGACGTAAATTAACAACAACAGGAACCTTGTAACGTGAGCTTGGATGTTCTCCACCGACTCCCAGTGCTTTCCCTTCAGCTCTCTTTTCAGTCGGGGGAGCAAAAAAAGTCACACGACGCCAAGTCAGAGCTATAGGGAGGCTGGGACACCAACTCATCAATTCCAACAATTCTTCACTGCTCAAAACTCGAACTTCTGTTTGCTCCTCCGTCAACACCTTCGACACAAGCTTCGCACGGACCTTTCGCATTTGCAAATTCTCCGTCACAATCCCATGTACCACACATTTTGACAATATCAGGGTGTTAGGTCCCGCAGTGGACTGATCGTTAAGAACCGGTTCCCAGCAGATCACCGAAGTCATGCATCACTGACTACGGTCAGTGTGCGGGTGGGTGACCACTTGGATCAGTCTGCGTAGGGACCGAGGATGTGCGGTATTGGTCCTCGTTAAACTGTGCTACCGTAAAGTGCTCGACTTCGCGCGCAGGTCGTCGGGCTTCCGAAGCGGGGGTGCCATCCCCTCTGCAGAGGATCAAAATTGTGATGGCATGTCTTCGGATCATCCTCCGGGATGTTTCCCAGACCGTCGCCAATAGCCCATTGTGCAGCTCTAGTGTGACGTAAATTAACAACAACAACAACAAATCAGGGTGTTAGCGATTACATGAATGCTTAACTGACTGTCTGACTTCAAAACTTCGCGCATACGCTGGACGTTTTCATCGGGTCGGGCTGTTGTTGGGCGTCCAGAACAACGCTCGTCGGTAACCTTCTCCCGACCCTCCTTGGAGGCATTGTGCCACCTTCCACACTGAGATCTCGAAATGCATTCCCCCTTAAAGTCGTCTTGAAGCATGTGATGAGTTTCCGTCGCACACAAAACTTTATCGCGTACCTCTGTTCCAGCGAACACTCCATCCCGCCGTGACTCGATCGAAAAAAAGACTTTACGCGAAGACACGTCCTACAGCTCGGAGAGACCTGAGACCAGGCTTGTTTGGAAGGACAAATCCCCCACCACGTTTTTCGACCAATCTGAGTGTGCTGCGATCAATAGTCGCGTCACAATAAAATCATGCGCATTACTTTCAGAACGCACCCTGTAAAAGACCCGGGTCAAATCCCGGATTAACGTGGATGTTCTTCTCTTCTCTGTACTATCCATCCTTCTTACTGAGGGAGCAACATTAACCGATCTACTGTAGTACCCCAAACGAGTGGTCAATCAATCTGCCCTTTTAATACTGGAATGAAGAAAGTCAATATCCAGGTGGGGGGGGGGATTGAAAGAAAAAAGATATCACAAAAGAATAATTTAAATAAAAAAGATTCTCTAGTGTTTGAATAATTAGGAACACTAGGAAGATAAGTAATTTATTTTCATGAAATTTTTTTTTTTTTTTTTGAGGAGCTANTATTTTTTTTTTTTTTTTTTTTTGGAATATAGAATGATTCTCAGATATACAGGTATATGTCAACATGATTTGGTGTATTGGATGATTTTTCTTGAAGAAAACTAAAAAGCGCTTCTTAGAACTTCAATGATGGACAATCGAACAGTTTCATTTTGTTTGCATCAATTACTTGCCCTTTGAAATTTAAGATTATGTTTAGTTTGGCTAATGTAAAACCTTTAATTTGGTAAATTATTATCATCAAATGACTTAATCACTTGGGTATTTAAACCCTGAATTCAAATGGAAAACGACATTTCTGTGAAGCAGAAAGATTTGACTGATATGTAATCCCTCTTTTTTTTCTGAAATCTTATCTGCTAAATCTTATTTTTTGACCATTTACAATTTTATCATTATTTAATGGACTTAGACAAAAGCTGATTGATTTCAGAAAATTTTCATTTTCCTCACAGACATATTTATTTCCTCATCCATTTATGACTAAATTGCACGAATCTTAAATCAATGTATCATTAATAGTACTTTTGTTATGAACGACAACCATCTGTTTTTGTTGATTGTAACTCTAAAAATATGGAATACTCTCTTATTATACAGTGTTTCCCAATAAAGTAGAACCATCTTCATTCAGTGCCATAACTGGACACAAAGAAAACCAATGTGAATCAAACATGTATAGTTAAGAAGTCTAAATCTAAACACATATTTACAAAAGTTTGACTAGTTGACTATTTTCTGTGCAAATGGCAATATCCCGCAGTGGACTGATAGTTAAGACACGATTCCCAGCAGATCACCGAAGTCAAGCATCACTGGCTGCGGTCAGTGTGTGGGTGGGTGACCACTTGGATCAGTCTGCGTAGGGACCGAGGGTGTGCGGTATTGGTCCTCGTTAGACTGTTCTACCGTGAAGTGCTCGACTTCGCGTGCAGGTCGTCGGGCTACTGAAGAGGGGGTGCCATCCCCTCCTCAGCTGATCAAAATTGTGATGGCGTGTCTTCGGATCCCCCTCAGGGATGTTTCCCAGACCGTCGCCAATAGCCCATTGTGCAGCTCTAGTGCGACGTAAATGAACTACAACAACAACAGCAAATGGTAATAAATACACCTTCACCTTTTATTATTATTATTTAGTTCCATATTTCTTATTATTATTACTATTATTATTTTGGTAATTCGAAAACGGACGTGAACCTGTTAATTCATGCTTTGGATCAATATGAATGAAACCATGATTTTGTTTAACACCTTATTAAGGTGTCGGACAACTTGCACAGTCTTATGGTTCAGAGTACAGATATTACGGTTCAACGTTTAATAAATTTTACTGAGAGTTTACATTCAACTAGATGTTAGTCTAGTTTTTATTATTTGAAGCATAAGCTCCGCTAATTAGTTAGAAAATTTCCGAAATTAATAATATAACTATCTGAAGAATGTATTGCAAAATGGATATAGTTCGGAGTTTTCGTTGGAAAAAAATTTTAAAATCGGTTTCATTTTACTAAAATGTCGATAAAAATGAGCTAATTAAAACGAACATGCGAGTTTTAAATTAATTATATTATAGTTTAGTATATTATTAATAAATTTATTATAATTTTAATTGACTCGTGTATTACCTCAGGAAAGTTAGTATTGACTCAACAAATTTTTAAAAATGAAGCATATTTTACTTGTCTGTTACATGGATGATACGGAAAACTTTAAATAGTCATTATAAGAAAATAATTAGATTCGGAAAGTGATTTTATATTTTTATGACTCTTGAGATCTAATTATAAAAAGATAAAATCAAGGCAAAATTGAAAATACCCCCTGAGATTTAATTATATTCGATTTTCAACTTTAATTAAACCCAAAACATACATAGTTTATAGTTTTCCTTCGCCTAAGCTTGCGTTTAATTATAGTCGAAACATAAGTTAAATAAGTGAAATATTCTACAGAGACTTCGTGTTTTTCTACGTATGACAATTAATACGAAGAATATTTTTTCCTTAAAATCTTTCTATATTTTAAAATATATGTAATACGAAAATAAATCTAAAATTTATTAGTATCTAAATTGTAAAGCATTGGTTTTATTATTTAAAAATGAATAGGTAATAATAGGTTGTAAAATAGCTGATAGTACATGTCATTACAGATGGCATTACTCAAAAGATGGGCTCAATAATTTTAACAACAGCTATATTTGAATTATATGCCATATATATGTTACGCTATATGCTCTAAATTGTCTCTGCTTATGTAATATACCTGGAAAAAAAAGTTATGAAGTTTTTCATTAAATTTTAGTTCATAAGATTATCAATTATCCTAAACAATAAATTTATGAAAAAAAAGGGATCGTGGCAGGTTCTCTATTCACGTTTTCACTATTTCATGTGTAAAAAGTGGCATTTTGTTCAAAAATACTTTTTTTTAAAAAAAGAAACTAAAAATTAGGGAAAAAAAATAAGTATAGATGAATAATACTAACTCATTATTTTGAAATGTATTAATTAGATTCTTAGCAATTTTGTAACTGACAATAACGACTTTTAAATGAAAATAATGTATTTATTTTTAAGACTCATATACTTAAAAATAGATTTTTTTAAAACACTTATTCCAATAATTACTTACACAAATACATTTACGTTTTCACAAAAAAGTTGTTCTATTGAATCGTAATGAATCGTATTGAATCGTATTGAAATTCATTAAAATAAATCGAATGAACTGGGCAGCTCACATTTTCAGAAG